AGGAAGGAAGGAAGGAAGGAAGGAAGGAAGAAAGAAAGAAAGAAAGAAAGAAAGAAAGAAAGAAAGAAAGAAAGAAAGAAAGAATGAATGAATCTCTCTCCTGACCTGGTCTATCTGAAAGAACTGACAAACCATGACAGCCTTCAACTCAGTCCAAAAAAAAATCATATCTGAGAGTCCTTGAGACCTAGAAGGGGTCCAGTTGTGAAATCAAAGAAGAGGAAAAGAGAATGAATGGCGTAAGGGGAAGGGATGAATGTCAAGATTGCCCCTTTAACTGCCCATCTTCAAATCAGAAACTCAAGCAAAGCCAGCCCACACATGGTTTTCTACTTATCTTTGCCAAAACAGGTGGCTGTTACATTTTTACGTTGCACATTTGTTATAGGAGAGAAGCATTTATACAGCACAAATTAGCCAAGAATGAACTCTCCCTCCCTCCCTCTCGCTCCCTATCTCTCTCTCCCTCTCTCTCCCCTTCTTTCTCTCACCTCCTTCTCTCTCTCTCTCTCTCTCTGTGTCTCTCTCCCTATCTCTCTCTCCCTCTTTCTCTCACCCCCTTCTCTCTGTCTTTGTCTCTCTCTGTCTTTCTGTCTCTCTCTCTCTCTCCCTCCCTCCCTCTCTCCCTCTCTCCCTCCCTCTCTCTCCCCCCTCTCTCCCTCTTTCTCTCACCCCCTTCTCTCTGTCTCTCTCCCTCCCTCNCCTGGGATAGGTCCTTCCAACTCAGTTGGTAACGACATCCGCAGACGCAAGGAACACCCTCTGCAAAACGATTTTCTGCCTGAGCTTATAAAGGATCCCACAATCACAACAACTCGACAAGTGCCTATTAATGATGATAGACAGGAGCTTAGTCAACTCTTCACTCCAATGGAAGGCATTAAAGTGCTGGGGGGGGGGGGAAATCTTATAAAAAGAAAACCCGTTGAAATTGAGAGCTTGCATTTCCAGGAGCATCTTCCAAATGACGTTTTGAAAGTTTGATGATTGGAAATCGATTCTTCTCTCTCCTGATCCAGATAAAGGAAGCAGAAAGAGCCCCTGGTTTCATGTTCCGGAATTGTTTAGTTTTGTTTTTCAAGGAGAGAGGTCTCACTGGACATTTGAAGGAAATTCAGGATTCATCCATTACTGAGTTCATTATGCTAAGACATAATGTTGCTTACTTATAACCAGCAATTCTGGCTTGGAAAAGCATGGTTGATGACTGAATGTGATGTGAGCCCTTCTATTTTGGCCCATTTCATAAACCATGATTAATACAAATAATGTCCCAGCCACTTGAACTGCCCAACCTTCCTGGCCTAAACAGTAGGACCAATTCTGAGTCTCAATTTTGCATGTAGGAGCGATCCAAGAACTATCCTCAGCATCTCGAGAGAAAACAATAAGCTGATTGAGTGTCTAATTCACAATGTGGTTTTCTTCATTTTTAGCTTAGCTTAGATCCTTCTGCTGGTTGGACCCATCATGACACTTATGGTAGGGACATTCCGTAGATCCACAACATCTTTTACACTGTGTGGTCTCCTTCCTACAATCTTGTCTGCTCAACATTTCAAAAAGAGGGGGTCAATCTTAAACAAAGAAGAGAGGGTCAATCTTGAACAAAGAAGAGGGGGCCAATCTTGAACAAAGAAGAGGGGGTCAATCTTAACAAAGAAGAGGGGGTCAAATCTTGAGCAAAGAAGAGGGGGCCAATCTTGAACAAAGAAGAGGGGGCCAATCTTGAGCAAAGAAGAGGAGGTCAATCTTGAGCAAAGAAGAGGTCAATCTTGAACAAAGAAGAGAGGGTCAATCTTGAACAAAGAAAGGGGGTCAATCTTGAACAAAGAAGAGGGGGTCAACCTAACCTCCAAAGCATCTGAAGTCAGGACAAGAAGCAACGGATGAAAACTAATCAAGGAGAGAAAAACCTAGAACTAAGGAGGAATTTCCTAACAGTGAGAACAATTAACCAGTGGAACAACCTGCCTCCAACACTGAAGGTTTTTAAGAAGAGATTGGACAACCACTTGTCTGAAATGGTATAGGGTTTCCTGCTTAAGTAGGCGGTTGGACTAGAAGACCTCCAAGGTCCCTTCCGACTCTTATTCTGCTATTCTTTTATTCGCTTTACAGCCCCCAAATTAGGGAGGGTTCCTTTTAAGATATTTGACACACCTGGAGTCCTGCTGTGGGCTAAGCTCCCTTTTATCTGACTTTTCCTTTGGTTGTCTGGCATTATCCTATCCCCCAAGGTCAGATACTGCAAATATCTGGAAAGAGAAAGCGAGAATAGAGCACTTCCTGATGTAACAAGCTGATAGTTGTTCAGAGATTTATTTATTAGCAGGAGTCAAATGGATGTTTTGCTCCATTCGGTTAGAACATTAATAAAGCTAGGCAGATCTAATGTATTTGCTCAAACTAAAGCTAAGATGCCCGTTGTTTGCCTATGTGCCTTAAAGTACTTGGTTATTTGCTGGTGCAACATTTTGATATTAAGAAGGAAATCTCAAAAATGTTTGTACGTTCTTGGTAGAGTTTTAGATGTTGCAGTGTGCGCGATCATACTTTGCGGCAATGAACTGTAGTTCGCTTTGCTCTTTTCCAGGAAGATTTGGTAAAATTGAAAGTGATTTCTTTGCAATAAGCAACGTCAGACCTTTGCAATTCCTGAATCTGGCTTGTCAAAATGTAGAGAGAGGAGAGGAAATATCTCCCAGGCTCTCAGGAATTTGTTATTAAAGAAGAAAAGTAGAGTTTAGCAAAAAAGGAAAGGAAAGAAAGAAGAAAGAGAGAGAGAGAGAGAGAGAGAGAGAGAGAGAGAGAGAGAGAAAGAAAGAAAGAAAGAAAGAAAGAAAGAAAGAAAGAAAGAAAGAAAGAAAGAAAGAAAGAAAGAAAGAAAGAAAGAATATCTCTCCTGACCTGGTCTATCTGAAAGAGCTGACAAACCATGACAGCCTTCAACTCAGTCCAAAAAAAAATCATACCTGAGAGTCCTTGAGACCTAGAAGGCGTCCAGCTGTGAAATCAAAGAAGAGGAAAAGAGAATGAATGGCGTAAGGGGAAGGGATGAATGTCAAGATTGCCCCTTTAACTGCCCATCTTCAAATCAGAAACTCAAGCAAAGTCCACACATGGTTTTCTACTTATCTTTGCCAAAACAGGTGGCTGTTACATTTTTACCTTGCACATTTGTTATAGGAGAGAAGCATTTATATAGCACAAATTAGCCAAGAATGAACTCTCCCTCCCTCCCTCTCGCTCCCTATCTCTCTCTCCCTCTCTCTCCCCTTCTTTCTCTCACCTCCTTCTCTCTCTCTCTCTCTCTCTCTCTCTCTCTCTCTCTCTCTCTCTCTCTGTGTGTGTCTCTTTCCCTATCTCTCTCTCCCTCTTTCTCTCACCCCCTTCTCTCTGTCTTTGTCTCTCTCTGTCTTTCTGTCTCTCTCTCTCTCTCCCTCCCTCCCTCTCTCTCCCCCCTCTCTCCCTCTTTCTCTCACCCCCTTCTCTCTGTCTCTCTCTCTCCCTCTCTCTCTCCCTCTCCCCCTCTCTCTCCCTCTTTCTCTCACCCCTTCTCTGTCTCTTCTTTCCCTCCCTCTCTCTCTCCCTCCCTTTCTCTCTCTCTCTCTCCCTCTCTCTCTCCCTCTTTCTGTCATCCCGTTCTGTCTGTCAGTCTCTCTCCCTCTCTCTCTCTCCTCTTTCAGTATAATCTGACTAGTTTGCAAGTTTTATAGACCACATATATCTCAAACTGGAGCCCAGTTGGCAGCTGTGGGCAATTGTGAAGTATTGGCTAAATAATGGGAAGGTGAGCAAGGAGTTTATATTTCCAACTAATTATGGAGATGGAAAATAGATGCCAGAATCCCTGTGAAAGGAAAGGCACCATCTATTATCTGACTTTCCTTGGATGGCTGCTTAATAAAGACATTTATTTGCAGAACGTTATTCAACCGGGGGGGGGGGGAAGGCTGTCATTATTTTCTCCCCCAGGAAGTTGATAGGCTTAGTTGCCTACTAAAGAGTTGGGATTTTAAACCTGAAAGCTGAACGTCTGAGTTTAAATGTTAGAATGCAGTCCAATGTCCGGGGCAGGGAACCAAGAACGACACAATAAACCTCTCAAAGTAGTTTCTTTATTGCTGTTCGCCTGCAGACAGGAATCTTGCCAGACTGAAGTACACGTTGCATAACTGTTAGATAAATACTATGAAGATTTAGGATGAATCTCTCTGGGGTCTCTTCCTACATGAATTATGCAACACAGCACCACATCCAATCCGTATTGTGTAGGACTATTGTTGGTTAGGTGCTGATCGTGTCCTATCGCCGTTTTGTTTACTTCAGCCTTATTTTTGTATGCACCCCAGTTTTGAACCGCCACAATAAGGATTTGATTTGACTTTGATTTGAGGACGATAGCTTCCTTCAAGGAGATGTTCCCTGACTTGGACTCCAGTCCCCATAATCCTCAACCAGCCTATCCACAGGCCTCCGGTTGATGAAGAGGATGGGTGGGGGTCCTCTTTTTCATCCTACAATTCCTTTCTCCAGGGTTTAGCTACCTTCCCTTCAATCCCGAGGGATAGCTCTGAGTTTGAACAATTTTTTTTTTTAATATAAAAGAGCACCTTTTAAGAGCATTCGGGGGAGGACGATTACTTTGTTATACTTCATAATAGCTGAGATATTAGTGCTTTGGGAGAATCATTATATGGAGCCTAAAATGTGATTTTTATGGGAAAGGACTATAAAAGGCTCTCAAGTCAGGGACATGTTTTGCATACAAAAGGCTCAAAGTCGGTCTTTAGCAAAGCATTCCTTAATACATATATATTTAAAGGGGGAAAAAGACAGAATCACACAGAAGTTAGCTTGAAATAATTCTGAGTTACATGGTGTGTTTGTTTGTGTGTGCAGGTGCGTGCACATGTATCCAGGCTTCCCCCTACCCCCTCCCACAACCTATTTATTTGCTTTCCTGATGCAGTTCTTTATTATTTTCCTTTTGATAGGTTAATATCTGCATCCTTATTGCTGTGACCAGAGTAATTTCAAGAATAAGTACCGAAAATTATAAGGTCCACGGAGAAGCTAATGGATTCAAGTAAGTTTGCTTTCTTCATTTTTTTTATTAAGCAGGAGTTTAAACTCCCAAGAACAGCTGAACCGCTACTGAATTCTGAGTCCAGATTCATAAAATCTGATTATTATTATTATTATTTAAAAAAAAAGGAATTGTGTTCCAAATCGAGACTGGATGAATTCTGTAGCACTATTTGATTCCCAAAGGAGAAGGTAACCTCCAATCTTGTGAAGATCCCAGATATTAAAAAAGGGAGGGACTCTTATCACACAATTAACTGATACAAGTTGGCTGTTGGGGCACTTTTTGAAAAATACACTTTAGGCAGAGAGTTAAAAATTGGGATCCCATCTAAGTGATAGTCCCCTGGGATTATTTTGTAAACAGTTTTCATCCCTATATTTCAATTTCACAAGCATTTCTTTTGCTGAGTGATAAGCATAAGGAAAATATTTCCTTCCTTCCTTTCTCCTTTCCTCCCTTCTTCTTTTCATTCCCTTCCTTCTTCCCTTCCTTCCTTCTTCCTTTCCTTCTTTCCTCCTTTTTCCCCTTCTTCCTTTTCTCCTTTCCTTTCCTTTCCTTCCTTCCTTCTTTCCTTCCTTCCTTCCTTCCTTCCTTCTTCCTTTTCTTCCTTCCTCCTTTTTTCCTTCTTCCTTTCCTCCTTTCCTTTCCTTCCTTCCTTCCTTCCTTTCTCTCTCTCTCTCCCTCCCTCCCTTCCTTCCTTTTCTCCTTTCCTCCCTTCTTCTTTTCATTCCCTTCCTTCCTTCTTTCCTTCCTTCCTTCTTCCTTTCCTTCTTTCCTCCTTTTTCCCTTCTTCCTTTCCTCCTTTCCTTTCCTTTCTTTCCTTCTTTCCTTCCTTCCTCCCTCCTTTTTTTCCTTCTTCCTTTCCTCTTTTCCTTTCATTTCCTTCCTTCCTTTCTCTCTCTCTCTCTCTTCCTTCCTTCCATTTCCTGCTCTTTCCTGCTCTTTCCTTCCAGCCTCCTCCTCCTCCTCCTCCTTCTCTTCCTTTCATCCTTCCTTTTCCTTCTCCTTCTCCTTCCCCTCCTCATCCCCTCCCCTCTCCCCTCCTCCTCCCAGTCTTTCTCCTCCTCTCCCTTCTCCCCCCCCCCCAATACTATTCAGCCTTTGGAACCTGTCAATCTTCCATCTGCCTGGCTTTGCTCATTTGGTATTTGCTATGGCAGAAATTTACAAAATTCATCAAGTGCCTTTATAGACCAGGAACCGCAACAATAACCTTCGCTCTTGATTAGAACAGCATGAGATATTTTTAGCCCTTTAGCACAGGCGAAGCAAGAAAATGAACTTGAAACTAAAAATAAGCAGCCCTGGGCATTTGGTATTTTCCCCTTCTTTCTCACAAGAGAGACAGTCCTACATAATTTCTTATCTGTATTGAAGAATGCTTGTTTGCTGCAGTGAACTCAAGGACAGGAATGGAGTACATAATGAATATTTATAAATGGATGCTCAATGGATGTTATCGGTTGGGCCAATCAGGCCCATAGAAGGCTTTTAAGTAACTGTACAGCTCCTTACAGTAAGCTCTTAATAACACAGCTTGCAATTCCAATTGGCAAGGACCAAACTGGTATGTGTGTACAAATTTGCCCATGTGTGTTGAAGGACCCTGGAGATGAAGTTTGTTGGCAGTAAGACTATTTGCTGGAGAGCAATTTTGCCTCGTTGCAGCTGGCAAGAACAAATTGGTGTAACTGTTGCCAATAATTTTCCCTGGCACGCCAGGGTGTTGAACCCGTGCTGATTTGATTAATGGCATATTGAAGGAGAACATCAATCTGGCCTTATCACTGCTTACCAAAGGGCAATCCGATCATCTGAGCCTACTAAGCAAATTCTGATTTCCTTAGGAAACTAAGCTTCAAAGACCTTACTCGTAATCTCCTAAGTGAGTAGCGGAGATTATTTTGTTTGCTTTTGTAGTGGGTCTTGCCTGGTGGATGACGGTTGCAGAACCACACCTGTTTTCTATTCAAGGATGATAGGTTGGGTCATTTATCACTTACATGGAGCACCACAATGCATTATCTCGGAAAGAGGGGTCCAGTTTATGTCAAAGTTCTCGAGAGCTTTTCTGGACCTCCTAGACCTAGGAACTGACCAAGGACTCAGTTCTAGTCCTCACCCACAGACAAATGGCAGGACAGAATGATTCAACTCAATACTGGAGTAGTAGCTACGTTGTTTTATTAATTATACACAAGATGACTGGACGGACCAAAGTAGCTTATAACAATGCTGTGCACACCAGCACAGGCTTCACGCCATTTTGGGGTGAAGGGCTTAGCTGGTGATATCATTGTTGCCATGGAGACCTCCAGTTGGAGGCTCCGTTCATGTCCCCGGCAGGAGCTGGAGTAAAGGACAGGAGCTCAACCTTGTCCCATGGCAATTCTTGGGTCTCGAACGTGGGCTTGCTGTTCTGTCCCCATCCGACCCACACACCCAAACAGCCAGCCGAGGGTTAAAGACTTCTCCAGACACCACTTTACAGATAAGAAACTTGGCAGCAGCTCCGTAGCTGCCTGCCAAGACCTTTTACTCCAAAAACACAGAAACAAAAAACAATACACACAGTTTAAAGCCACAGCAAACTACTTCGCCAGAGATTCAGCTTTTGTTCGTCACAGAGGTCCAAATGGCCACCACCTCCCTTTTATAGCCTGTGGGGTGTGGTCCAATGACTCAGCTTAATCTCTGGCACGTCTCCTTTTCTGCTGCGCACGCTTGTCGCTCCTACGCTGGCATGGATCCAGCCACAACTTCTCTTCCTCACTATCTGAAACACCTGGCTCCTGGCCAATCTCAGAAACACCTGGCTCCTGGCCAATCTCTTCTCCGTCGGGAGACACCTGAGGCCTTGCCAAAGAGGAGGGTCCTGGAGAGGGAGGCCTGGCCATCTCCTCTCCTTCATGTTCGGAGCCGTCTTCCTCCGATAAGAGGGGCTCACATGACGGAGCCACAACACTTGCTCACTTCCTACCCAGTGTTCCAACCACTTGATCCACTGTGCTCCTTAAGGATGGTAGTAAATCAGCAGGGTAGAGATTCCTGTCTCTGCAGCAGCCCAAAGTCTCAAAACGGCAAAAACGATGCATTTGCAATGCAAAACGTGTTAAGAGTCTTTCTGCCGAGAGTGCACAGATAGCTCTTCCTTTGAAACAAAACTGCTTTATAGTTCTATTACTTACACACTCTGGTTTTAGGTTTGGTATCCTCCATTTTTTTCCCACCATTACTTAAGTTGGAACCAAACGTCGTGCATATAGAGGTAATCCTTCACTTACAATAATTCATTTATAACAGAATAACAGAGTCGGAAGGGACCTTGGAGGTCTTCCAGTCCAACCCCCTGCTCAGACAGGAGACCCTATAACATTTCAGACAAATGGCTGTTCAGTCTCTTCTTAAAAACTTCCAGTGTTGGAGCATTCACCGCTTCTGGAGGCAGGTTGTTCCACTGGTTAATTGTTCTCCCCATCAGGATATTCCTCCCTAGTTCTAGGTTGCTTCTCTCCTTGATTAGTTTTCATCTGTTGCTTCTTCTCCTGCCTTCTGGTGCTTTGGAGAATAGCTTGATTCCCTCTTCTTTCTGGCAGCTCCTTAGATATTGGAAGACTGCTATCATGTCACCCCTAGTCCTTCCTTCCATTAAACTAGACATTCCCAGTTCCAGCAACCGTTCTTTATATGTTTTAGTCCTTTAATCATCTTTGTTGCTCTTCTCTGTACTCTTTCTAGAGTCTCAACATCTTTTTTACATCCTGGTGACCAAAACTGGATGCAGTACTCCAAGTGTGGCCTTACCAAGGCATTGTAAAGTGGTATTCATGCGATCTTGATTCTATCCCTCTGTTCATGCAGCCTAGCACTGTGTTGGCTTTTTTGGCAGCTGCAGCACACTGCTGGCTCATATTTAAGTGATTGTCCACTAGGACTCTGAGATACCTCTCGCAGTTACTACTATTGAGCAAGGAACCCCCTTTACTATACCTGTGCATTTGGTTTTCCTTGGCTAAATGTAGAGCCTTACTTTTTTCACCACTGAATTTCATTTAGTGCTGTTTGAAGTTACAGAAGCACTAGAAAAAGTGACTAAGAACCATTTTTTTTCAAACTTATAGCCATTTCAGCATCCCCGGGGTCACATGATCAAAATTCAGATGCTTGGCAACTGACACATATTTACGACAGTTGCAGCATCCCAGGGTCATGTGATTGCCCACTTGCGACCTTCCCAGCTGGGCTTCTGCCAAGTAAAATCAATGGGGGAAGTCAGACTCGCTTAATGACTGCCTGATTCACTCAACAATGGCAGAGATTCACTTAATAGCCCTGGTACAAGATGGTTGTAAAATTCAGATGCCGTGCTTAGCAATGGAAATTCCTTGTGCTCGTAAGTCTAGGACGACCTGTATGCATAGCCTCCCTGTCAGCATGAAAAGGGATAATTGGGGAAGGGCGTGAGGCTTTGGTGTGTCTGTCTCCCATCTTGAGCTGTGCCTGTTATTTGTCCTGCCTGGCAGAAGCTCATTAACAGCTTCTCGATAAACTGCCAAGGCCAAGTTTTATGGAATGATTTTGCTCATCATTGCCTCCGGTGTGGTCTGGTGGTCTGGAAAAATCTGTATCATTTCTCCAGTACATGCGGTCTCTGGAATATAAGCTGAGGAATCGACAATGAGATTTGTCATGAATAAGTGGAGAGAGAAAGAGAGAGAGAGGTGGAGAGAGAGAGAGAGGGAGAGGGAGGGAGGGAGAGAGAGAGGAAGAGAGAGAAGGAGGGAGGGAGAGAGAGACAGAGGAACAGAGAAAAGGGGGTGAGAGAAAGAGGGAGAGAGAGGCAGGGAGAGAGGGAGAGAGAGACAGAGGGAGAGAGAGAAGAGGGTGAGAGAAAGAGGGAGAGAGATATAGGGAGGGAGAGACAGAGGGAAAGAGAGAAAGGGAGGGAGAGAGAGGGGGGGAGAGAAAGAAGGGGGTGAGAGAAAGAGGGAGAGAGA